CCCTTTTACCTCTGACCCAATCAAGCCCTGTACAGTTTTTATTTCTCAAATTGGTTATTTTAGGACCACAGAGATTTTTTTTAGTCAGCTGCGACGAGGAGCTGAAAAGTGTAAATATGTATTTGGGTCAGTTACAGTGACCATGCTTAGTTGCTGTTTTTTTTTTTTTTTTCAGACTTTGAAATAGCTTATTATGACTTTTTGGGAGGAAAAGAAATGTATGTAAATCTTTTCAAATATTCCAAAGAGAACAAATTGGCCATAACGTTCAATTTTTTACATACATTGTTTTATTCAGAAGAAAAATAAATAAAAAAATTGAAATGTCTTTTTGAGGAGAGGAGGAAACAAACAAAACAAAACAAAAAAACAGGCATTAAATCGAAGCAGAACTGTTCTGGGCCTGGGTCCAGGACTCAGATAATCTCCTGGCCTCTAACTGGACCTCCTCTCTCGGGCTTTGTTGTGACATTTGGACGTGTTTTTGAACCTCAGCACTTGGCTTGAATTTGGAGTCAAAAGCATTTTTAAATATTTTGGAAGGGTGTGTGTAGGGGGGGGGGTGATAAATGTGGATTTGAAGCTCCAAACTGAGAGTGAGATGTTGAATGTATCTTAAAGACAACCACACTTTACATACATGTTCATCTAAATAAAGATCCGTTAAGTCAAATTATTATTTTTGATTTTTCCACTGACTCCACGTAGAGCTGCCAACTTAAGGCTGCTGTTTTCTCTCATTTGAACTTGTCACACTATTATTTAAAGGCTTGTTTATTTTTGTTTTATTTATTTTTTCTCTAATTATAGCCGGGTCGATGCAAATGAGTCCGTAATTAAAAACAAGCCTCGTAGAAGTTATTTCCATTTTAGAGAGCAGCCGGTTTAATCCTCGCTSCCTGCTTTAAATTGAAATACTTACATCTCCCTCTTGCTTTAGGGAGGCTGAGTGTTGTTTGTTTATTTATGTGACTCGGGCGTTAAAAATGAGCTGGAAGCCATTTCACCGAGGCGTACCTGAACGCAGCGCGGTAATGGAGCGATAATTACTCCTGTTTGGGGTTTTTTCCTCTAAAATAAGCTGCAGGAATTTCAGGGCCTCTGATGCGGTAATTACTGAGGTGGGGTTAGGGTGAGGGGGTCAGCTGGAGGAGGGTTTCATGCGTTTATTCTCGCAGGCAGAAAAAAAAATTATAAAGACAGAAAATAAAATAAAAAATAAAAGCATCAGGAGCTGATTTTAAAGCCGCACTGAGCAAAAACACGGATTTAACAAATAAACATTTCTCTATTTCACCTTCTATAAAGCACATTTTATTTTTACA